AGAGATGGTTATGACTGAGGGAACAAGGGGCGAAGAAGATGCGTAATGCGTGTGCACGAAAATCAGATTATTCTGGAGGAGCGAGAAAAGAGAACAGTGGGAAAAGTAGGAAGTATAAGGGAGTGAAATGGGCCCCTCCCCGCCCATTTCCGTGAGGTCCTGCCTCTCCAGAAGGGAGCTACGACCCCTCCGAAGCCCCATAGGGGACCGTGTTTTTTTTTTGTTTTTTTTTTGAGGAAAACCCCCGAGTCCTGCGGCTTTCGCGCACAGGACTAGGGGGGAAAAACCTCAGGAAGGGAAGGAAGTCGGGTCGAGGGACAAGAAAAACGCACAAGGGGGTAAGGTTAAGTTAAACGCGAAAAAGCTAAGATAAGTTAACGCGAAAAAGCTAAGATAAGTTAAACGCGAAAGGGAGAAGTTAAACGCGAAAGGTCTACCCTTAGTCAAGATTCACCGCAACGAAAGACCGCGGGCGTAGCACCCGGCGGTACCCTTGCGGGCACGCCGGGACATCCCGAAGGACGATATTTAACGCTACAACCTCCGTCCCTTCCCACGGGCAAGCCCAGTGGGTTAGACGTAAGGAACCACGCCCGCCGCCGGCGGCGGGCCCCGTTAGCCATCGATCCCCGCGCAAAATGTCTCCGACAGAGGGTGACTTTATACTAGCGGGTGCTCAATAGCACCCGCACCTATCCCAAGTGAAGTGACCCCCAAGCACAAGCACAAATAGGACTTTACCCAAAGTCAACGGACTACCCCTCCGACCTCCCCACGGACAAATAGGATCGTCTCTACCCACACAAGTGCCCAAGGGTCAAGACATGTTGGAGCGTTTTTAGCAAAGCGAACAAATTATACTAAATACGCGAGAGCTAGACACCTGGCTAGATTCACTATACGAAAGACCATGGCCGTAGATACCCTAAGGGGGCTCAAGGCCCCCGTCGGGAGACCCATAAGGTCCTGTTGCGGCCACAACTTGGGCCACCAACCACTGAGCAAGCTCAGCGGATGAGGCGGAAGGGCAACCCCCGACACCATGGTCTTAAGTCTAGCTGCACTAACAGGGTGACTACTCTTATATGACTACTTGAATGAATATGCTCGACCCGACCAAAGGAATAGGAAAAGTAAGACAAATACAATGGAAAGTAAGAGGGAACAAAGCGAAACGAGAAGAAAGAAATGAAGATAGAAATAAAGAAGTGAAGAAGTAGAAAAGTAAGGAATAGAGTTATAAAAGTGGAGAAGAAATGAGGAAAGAGATAAATACGAAAGTGAACAATGAAAGATAAAGAAATATGAATGTAAAGAAGGAATAAATATAGAAAGAGAAGAATGTTGAAAATGAATAAGAGTAATGATTCCAAGACACCAGTATAGGAGACCGGCTCGAGGAAGAATGAGCGCTCCGAGTCCGGGCGCTGCGTTCGTCGCTTCCCCCACTCTCCCCCTCTCGCCGAATCCTGCGCGACGAAGTTGCGCACACACAATTTTAGGCAACTTCCAGTATTTCTAAATATACTTGGCCAGAATTTCCGATTTCCAAGTGTTAATATTTCATTGATTTCATTAATTATTTTAATGTTCCAAACACCTAATTTATTTACGATTTAGTGGAAAAAGTAGAAAAAGCACGAAATATAAGGGAGCGAAATGGGCCCCTCCTCGCCCATTTCCGTGAGGTCCTGCCTCTCCAGAAGGGAGCTACGACCCCCCCGAGGCCCCATAGTGGACCGTGTTTTTTTTTTATTAAGGAAAACCCCCGAGTCCTGCGGCTGTCATGCACAGGACTAGGGGGGAAAACCTCAGGAAGGAAAAGGAAGTCGGGTCGAGCGACAAGAAAAACGCAAAAGTTAACGGGAAAGGTCGCTAAGTTAAACGGGAAAGGTCTATCCCTAGTCAAGGATTCACCGCAACGTCCCAATGAAGAAATGTGCCAGAAAAAAAAGGGTTAGAATGTCTTAGGCACTGAACTAGAAGTATACTGGAATAGGTACGGCAGTGGTAGGTGTCGCGTAGAAAGAAACAGCGAGGCAACAGTTCGGTGTAGCAGGCTGTCTGTATCACACACTGTACAGTCTGTCAAAAAGTTATCCCTAATTAATCGAAACTGAATTAAGAAAGTGTTATGGATATCAATTAATCGTATTAATTATCAACTGCAGTCCGAAAAATCCCTAAATTTTATCAGTAAATCCATTTAATCGAGAAAAGAGTTATTAGGTTCTCATTATTCTGATTTACTCGACCGCGTTTAATTAGCATAGATCATGCGGCATAACGTCTGTGTGACATCTGTCACAATAATTCAGAGACGACGAACAGCCAGACAAACCTTTTAATTAATTAATCGTAAATTCCATTTGGAGACTGTCAAAAAAAATGTAATATCACAAAGTCTAATGGCATTAAACATTCTCCACAAATCTTCACGGAACACGCGAAGACCAAAGGAGAATTTTTTAGTCTCCCATTTAATACCGTAAAGTACTTCGGGTTAATTAGAATTAACAATAATTCACTGCAATAGCACGCAACAGTACCGTGAATTGTAATTAATAAATTAATAAAGTTTAATATCCTCAGAGTGCTCTTAGGATAATGTAGAATAACGCGGCAACGACGTTGAACTATTTGAATGTTCTTTACCATTGAGCTCCCTGCTAGTCCACCTGTCAAAAGACCGTCTTAAAGAAATCTTCGGACTAAATGACGTCTTGAAGTTGTCTATAAAACGTCCTTTTAGACATCTGTGTTAATAGGATCGTTGCAATAGACACAGTATAATTAACACAAGTAATCGCGGAAGCTGCCTCAACGAAATTACACACAAACCTCTCGTCTGTCACCCAAGAGGTTAGGTCCAATGGTTTTGTCCCGCCTGAGACACTATTGGCGAGGAGTGACGTCACCGAGTAACGGCCAATAAGCATATTCCTTACAAAAGATAAAATTACCAGATGAATGGATTTGGGGGATACACATAAAAGAAAAAGAGACAATTACAGGTACTTTGATAAAAATATATTTAGACAAGTCAGAATAGACGATTTTATCTCTTGGCGCAAAAAACCGTACAGTATATCATTGTTTCTTTCTTTTTCATTCTCTTTCTCGACTCGAGGAATTGTTAATAATGTTTTACAAGTACATGCAAAATATCGTTACTCTCGTATTTACATTCTGTTTGCGAATAACGTAGCTTCCACTCTGTTTCTCTTTTTTTTTTCCTGTTTCTTTAATCACACAAGTGCATCTCAGACAAGCATTCTCTAAAATTCTCAAATCTCTCGTAAATCAAGTTTTTCGCCTGTATCACTTTTCTCTTTGTTTACTTTTTCTTAATATCGTCTTTATCAACCTTCCACTAGCCCACTCTTTAATATATTACTCTTACACTTTACAAAACAATTCGTTTATCGCAATCTACCGAAACTAATTTTCAGATTCATACGGGAGAGGCGCAACGCAAAATTTTTAGAGGAATATCCAAAGAAATTAAAATAAAAATACAAAGCCTTGTTGCGCATCCTCGTTCCGTCTTGGCGTTTCCTTGTTTTATTTTGTATTTTTTCTTTTTTTTTTTTTTTCATCAACATCGTAACCCGTTGTAAGTAATACACGTACATGGAAAAAAAATAGAACCCGCTGATCTGCCCCAGTCTCAACCTCGATTATTCTTTACTTAAAGAGGGAAAAGCGTATAATTCTTAATTAACGTTTATGGTTAATCAATTTTCTTTCACTTCTATAGTGCAGCTGTATATATAGGTATAGGTAAATGGTACTGTATTACATCCTACGACAATTATTACACGTGGCTTCTTCTCAATCGAATAAATTGCATTGGATTAATTATTAGCGACAGCAATAGAGCTTATTACGAGTTTTAATAAAGGAAGATGACAAGGGGATAAGTGATTACAGGATATTGCTTTGCCGGTTACACATAGCACAACCATAAAGGTAAACTCGTTAGTTACTCAAAATTTTTTTGGGATTTTTGAGTAAGTAAAACAAAAATACATTTCTTTCCATCCACATTAATTAATTACGTTAATTCCAAATTTTCTTTGACAATTTCAATATTCAAGCCTCCCGTTTGTTCGTTTAATATTTTTGTGTGAACGATTATTTTACCTTGCGTGAAATTTCGAAAAATCTTTCGCCTAATTTTCATTGGATCAGAATTAAGTGTTATTTCTTTCGCGTTAATTTAAATTCCTTACAATCTATACAATATGCAGGGTGGAATGTTACATTTGACTGGTGCCCTATAACGTGTCTCAATTACGATAGGACTCTTGGATTTGCATGCAGGGATGAAAAATTGGTTTCTACGAAGTTAAAAATTGTATTTCCAAAATTTTCAGATAATTTTGGCAACCCTGTCGTGGTTGATCTATGCCCATAAAATTGTATGAAAATATTTTGTTATTTCAATTTTTTTTTCCTTTTTTCTTTTTAATAAATAAAATTCAGAAACTTCGCATAAACTGTTCCAAGAGTTCATTAATTCGCAGTGAGGCTTATCTGGCATAGCTTATGGTGATATTCATACATACAGATCGAACAAATATTGTATATCTATATGCATATATATGTATCAAGTGAATTGGCGATATTACGTAAATCGTATGACAATTATTATCAAGAAGATGAAGTTAGTAACACATTTTAGCTTGTCTTATAGATTAGCTCTTTTTTTTCGCAAAGGTACAATATTCATTTCAGTAGGAGGATCGCTACTATTTTTTATTTATTAAGTAGGGAATTGCCTTACGTATGACGTAAGACCAATTATTATTGTTTAACTTATTTGTACTGATCTATGAGGCATGGATGCGTTGCAATTTTATTGATTTAGCAATAAAAATTATGACTGCTAGAAAGAATGCTGTTGGGGTATACAATAAAATTGTGAGACTCCATGTTAGTTTACAATATAAGAGAATATATATATTGGGACGGTAATTTGTATGCAAATCAATTACTGAAAAAATAATGTACAACTTTTCATACTGCTTCTCATTTTTTACAGAATCAAGAAATTCACAACGCTTCCAGTCCTTTAATTCTAGGACATTGCTGCTAGGTGAAACATCACTATACACAATTTGAGCATCGCATCGTCCACCGTTCTAGGTTAATAAGTTTAATAGATAGAAATAAAGATAAATATTTAACACGTAAAACAATTATTTTATGGCAAAAAAGAAGTACTAGCGATTAGACCAAAGAGGACAACTGTACGGGACTGATTGTTCCTGGATTGGATAATCGACCTTAATTATGAGGTCAAAAGAGGACTTGTCGATTGGTTGTACCGAATTCCTGATCGAATTTAATATTTAATACATCTTCAACGCTTATTGAGTGACAGATATTATAATTTAATGTTGTTAATTAATGCTGCGTTCGCACGTGTTACTTTATATACAGTGAGATTTAAAAAATTCGACATCGACGAGGTACACACCTTTCTTAAACTGACCGTTACCGAGGTTGTCATATTGTTTTCCTTATGATAGACGAATTTATTATTAATAATAATGTATGTATGTATATATATATATTTATGTGTACGTGTATTCATGTTGTGTATAGTAGGTGTATTAATAGAGTAGCTTTTTATCGCAACATTTATATATCTTTTATATGAAACTTCATTCACAGGTAGCATTCGCGCCCTCCATTCCTGATGATTTTATTTTTAATTATCTTGTTCAGCGTTCACTCTATGTTTTGCATTGTTTATGGAAATTCGAAGAGACGTCGGTCTCACGTCACGGACGCTTAGAGGTAATTTTGGTCGAATTTCTTCGGCTCACTACTCAAATAACGAAAATAACAATAATAGGATAAATTATGATAGGTGCAAGAAGATAGCAGACGAACGAAAGGGGGGAATTATTTAGTTAGTTCGCGTTCGCTCCGAATAAAAATAATAAATAATATATCGTTTACCTTAAATCGGTTTAAAAAATCGTCCGAGACTTCTTTACCAATGAGCGATCGTTATATACTCGTTACATCGACAGGATTGGTCAGTCGACTATGGCCAATTGTCATTTGACCAATGAGAATCTGTCGTTTCGATGTCGCATCGCGATTCAGATGAATTCGATTGGTGGGCTAATATACGGGCATCGCGATGCCGCGCATTTTGAAATAAACTTGAACTGCACACAGTGTATTATGAAAAAGGTTGAGAATTTAATTATTGTTTCTTTTCATGATAGGCATAACATTAAAAACTCTCATCAAGTAGATAACAATAACCAACAACTAACAATCGTAGGCATTCACGCAAAAATAGAAATATGTTGAATAATATATAATATTATCATAATTTATGTATAGTAGTAAGTATGATCGTTCGCTTATGCATAGCGGAGCTGTCTGATTCGACTCACCAGAGTTGAGGGAGACGATGTAGATTCGTAGGTTTGGCGATAAAGGATATTTAAATTAACGACTGAGACAATTCAAGACGCAATTGATCGATAACTATATTTTGGACACTCTGCACAATTTTGAACTTTTAAATTCACGAAGTCTCGATCGACTAATGGGAATCCGTCCAGAAGCAAAAGAAAAGCCAAAATAGAAAATATTCATTTGTAAAATGCCTTGCACGTCCTATAAACAAACATTGAAATACCTTCCGATAAAACTTTACAATAATATCAAATAACGCGTAGCTTCGAATTTACATCGCTCTGTCAATTCCATCAACTCGAGTCGCACCTTATTTACATTGCGAAAACGACCAACGACCACACAAGAGCACATTCCTCCTTCCGGTCGTTCGGTCGTATATATTATTTCTTCGTTACCAAGTCTATTAATATTTTCGCATAAACATTGGACGCATTACTGTACGCCAAAGCCATTGCACTTTTCAAACCTCAAAATTCATTTAAATAGCTAAATTCGCATTAAGACTCTCCACGAGACATCCTAGAATCTCCTACCTACACCTTAATTTGGTTTTACGTTCCCTAGATGGAAGTCAAGTACAAAGTATTCCCTAGAGTCAAAAATATCCCTACAAATGCCCTAATAAAAATTTCACCTATATTCTACCTAAAAGTGCAATGTCGTCGTCAGCATCGCGTACAACAATAGATCTATAAGTATAACGAAAAGTATACCCCAAGAAACAAAAAAAAAAAAAAACAATTGCAAAAATAAACATTAAAAATTGCCAGGCCTGAACGGCCAGTCGCCGTCATTTTTCTTGTTCTACTATATTACAGGTATTCGCTGTATAAAAATTAAAGAGAGAAGAACTTCCATAACGCATGTATCAATAATGAATTAGTAAGTTCCAGTTTGTCTAATCTAATAATATAACATAACAATAAATTACTGCATTACACGTGTACGTCTGACCATGCATTGTGTGGCGTGTCTGCATGTATCGTCATTCTTTTCTAAACACCCCCCCCGTCCCACCCCCCATTCCCCAGCTACCGCCAAACCACCTATCCTCACTTTTTCTCACTCTTCACCTGTCTCATAGTGTCGTGCATGCAATTAACAAAATTGCAATTGCATTATGCGCTTATATCCGTACAGAAGAATGTCTTATTAAAGTAACGATCCGAATCGAGGCAGAGTTGGAATGTAAGCATTTCCTTTCAAGATAATAAAAGATATATGTACGTGCCGCGTCTTCGTTGAACCGTGTCAAACAAACGAGTATAATCCAAGATAAAGATATATAAAAGTGTCGTCGGTAAAACCATCGTCATCATAATCTCCGTTCGGTATCACGATAAGTCAGCGAAATGAAAAACCTGAAGAGTAAGAGCAGTCGGATCCCGGCATTAGGTAGGAAAGTGTAAAAGAGAAAAAAAAATGATCACCGTTCTAGGAACATCGATCAGGATCAATTTCTCGTCGAGGAACCAGATGGTTTTGGGCCCAACGTAAACGCGGTTAACGAGATTGTCCGTTTTCCTTTCCTTCCATGTTCAAATAATAAAGAATTTCGCGGGTACATTGTGTTTTCCGATCGAGCAGCGTGACATCGACAAACTGTAGGCGAAACTGGGCCGCGTGATGTAGATTTGACGTGAACGACAAGGCCGGAAGTCTCTATCTTGGATCGTCGAAAGAAAAATGATACAAGTCGCATATTAAAATCGACGCGACAGCAAGGCGGAACTTCCGGTTACAGTTTGTCGAATCCACACGAGTAACTTCCGACACGCTCTCGATACGAATCGGCCAAGATGAATCTTTCTTACATATACATACAGTTACAGACATACGTACGTCCCAAGTATAAATTGAAATATCATGGAACGTCTGTACGCGACAGAAATGATTTATAAAATAAAAAAGAGACACCCCGTTAGACGGTCGTTAAATAATATAGTAAGAGGAAAAAAAAGGAAGTAAGTAATTCGATCAAACTATCGACTTAAATACTTTTACAGATGTCAGTTCGGATGTGAATGTGCGAGACTAAAAGTATCTTTTTTCTTTCCTTTTTTTCTTTTTTTAATGAATTAAGAATAATTAAACGTCGGCGTGCCCCAGGACGCGGCACGCTATCTGCTCCTAAGGATCCGAGAGAGATTCTAACATTTCCATGAGGAAAGCGTCGATGGGCACGTTCCCTATCAATCTGAAGAAGAACAGATGCTCCAGACATTTCAAACCGATAGAGCGTAGCGACGGTAAGCGTAATAGAAGCTTCGCGAAGCGTCCAGGCTCTTCGGGCCTGGTGATGCGGGTGTACTCCTCCAGGGCAGCGTACACCTTGTCCCGTAGAAGCTCGACCTCTTGCCCAGACTTGAGACCGCGTACTTCCGGATTGAAGAGTATGATCGACCTCAGACAGCCCAGCTCGGTCTTGTCCATCTTCATCTCCCGCATCTTCGGTACCAGCTCAGACAGCACCCGGTCGAATATCATACCGACGCCTGCCTGATGAGCTGAACTCCTGTGAACGGTGATACCAGCTGCCAGGACGATCCCGTCCTTGACGTCTATCGAGCGATGAGAGAAGGCTGCTATGAGAAGCTCGTTCCATCCCGCCCTCAGCAGCAAGACTTGGTCCTCCAGTGGAAGAGACGTGAAGTGAGGGATATGCTTAGCCCACTCGACCAGCTGGAACAGCTGTGCGTTTGTCGCGTTGCAAATATTTGACACTTCGTTCTGAAATATTTTTAATTAATTACTCAGACAAATCTCAAAGACCAAAATAACGAAAGATTAATGATTTGCTAACGTGGAATGCAAAAGTTTCCAAGGGTGTAGAGGTAAGTGTGTCGATGCATACTAAGAGGAGGAATTTCTGGGTGACCTTGTGACCTGGCAATGCGTCCTTGCTTCTGTGTCTTTAAGACCCTATGAAAATAATGCAGTTCGCCATTGTTTTTTTTCTTCTTCTTGGCATTCAAGAGAAGAGAGTGACAGAAGTTCGCATTGAGAATTTTGACTTTTCTTTCTTTAACTTCAAGTATATGGGATTTTTTAATGCTTTTTTGTTTCTATTTATATGAATCTGTGTATGCTTTTGTATTATTTACTTCAGTCACTTCATCTGCTTATTGTATCTTATAATTTTGCTCAATTTACCTCGTAGTTTCCCTGGTGCTCCGTTTTACACTCCACTCTCTTTTCCGCTTCTAAAATTCTCTCGACTGGCATATCCGCGTGCAAACTACTGGTGCTCTCCACTTCGCTCTGGTCACGTTCCTTGGTCCTCTGTCGTTCCTCCTGAACTGCTTCCCTCTTCATACCCATCGCCAGGCATTTTTGATACCGACAGTACTGACAGCGATTCCTTTGTCTCTTGTCGATTATACATGATTTCTCTTCCCGGCACGCATACGAGAGGTCCTTCCGTACTGTGCGCTTGAAGAATCCCTTGCATCCTTCGCAACTGAAAAAAAAAACAAATAATTCAATAAATGATAACACATCGATCGTGAACTTCCGATGGGAATTCAAAAAAAAATATAAAAATTCAAGATCAAAAAATATTTGCATATTTCAAGTCTAACCTAGAACTCATGATGGGTACGGGGCCTTGAAAATCAAGTCACGTCCCTGAACTCTTAATCTCCCTCAGTGATTATCACGTGTTTGCAAATCTACGAATAATTCTCAACCACAAAATCATCACGTCTAAATTTTCATTCACACGTCAAGCATATCTCTTCTCGAGAAGAGTCGCGGACTGTGTCGATAAAGCGTCGTTGTTTTACAGGCGTCGAAATAAAGCCGATTAACGTGACGCAAACTGTCGCCGTTAGAGTGACGAGATAAAGGAAAAGAAAAACAAGAAAAAAATGAGATAGAGACACTGGACCACGTAGGAGCGTGCGATAAAAGAAGAAAATTCCTGACCGGACCATTCTCAGTCGCAGTTCTTGATGATTCAGAGACTACATGTCTCGAAAGCTAAGACCTGTGTATGCAGAAGTCAGGGCTGTACGTAGAGGGTCCTTTTTAAAAAGTTTGGATCCTTTCCAAAATCACGAGCCAGACTAAAAATTTCTCGTTACACGAATCATTTATTTTCGCGCGCGTATTTTTAAACCGCACGGATATGTCTTTCTTGTCGCGCGGACGGCAAACAAGAGAGATACGATATGGTATTTTAATCCCAGGGATTTCGAGGGAAATCAAAATATCGCGGTACTGGGTAGCTGCTGCTTGGCGACACTTGAATTCCCTGAGTAAATTCAATCCGACAATATATATCACCTACAAAGTAGTCCGAGGCACGCGTATTGTTGGGATTCTCCGAATATATGGTACTTGGGGAAAGTCCGCGTGAGCTATAAGCAAGCGTGTAAATGTCTGTTCGAACACGTAAGAATCCCAAAGAGGGATATAATTTCGAGCTTTGGTTTTTCATTTGAAAATTATTAGAAAACTTCATACCTATGGATCGTGAACGTATCTTATTTCTTTTTACGATGACTGTACGTGATTCTTGATATCCTAGTCCAATAATATCCTTCGTCACGTTAGCTAGTCGTATTTTGTCGGTTTCGGCTGAAACCATAAATAACAAAGTACGACGAGCCACTGGTATTTCGCATCTCGACACTCGGCGGCTGATGGATATTTTATTAGCACGCGTGGGAGGAGGCCGGGAACGATATGAAAACGACACGTCGTTATAGGTTAGAGTTTTGCTTGACATCGTAGTACTTGACATTTATTTAAAGCGTAAAAATATATATTCACCCAAAATACCATCACGTAGCAATGAAACGAAGACATAGGTGACGACTGATACCGAAATATTCACGATTAGACATGACTTTACCTCAACAAGTAATACGAGACTCCGAAAGACCATAGAGTACAGCACTTACATAGTAAGGAAGTACGGCTCATTAGTAACCTCGTTATGCGTTAGCTTTACAGCCTAGAATCTAGATGGCACCACGCACTGAACAGTCTCGCACGGCTGTCTCATTAGTATAATTGCTCGGTCAATTATATTCTGCAGAGAAGTCTAGTCTGATAAAGTGCGGATGATTTTCGATTTATTACGACGTTCAATTGATTGAGCGACAATACCTGTGTAACGGGCATTACATTTCCGGAAATCATTTTTAGAACTGAGCTCGAGTGAATTATGCGCTAAACGAATTCCTGGGGTGTCTGGTACGACGGCGAAATGAGGCCGGAATGGTCAATGGCTTCTTGTTGATAAATAATAAAGACGACTTGTGGACGGCCGTTAAGGATCGTAGAAACTCGACGAATAATTACGCGTACCTCTCGTTACACGGTGGTGGGCGCAGAGCTCAGTTCAACTATGCACACGTCGTATACTTGGACACCGCAAATGCAGGACTCCGTGCGTTCATATATCCGTCGTCGGCCAAATAAGCTGGCACGTGATGCAATTTCTGGACCACCGTGCTGCTGGCTTTGATGTTTCAGTTTATGCGAGAGACAAATATTCGAGACGCGAGACACGTGTAAGATTCTTAGTTTCGTTGCTGTGCGCATGCGCGGACGCGCCTCTGGAATGGCTCCTGTACGTTGGTACGTAAAATTAATGTTTACCAGACGGTTACCGTACGGTTTCTTAAGGGAATTAATGTCCTGACTAATTGTAATAAATTCGAGAGATTACAGGACAAAACAATTCGGAATAAAATAACGGAATTACTTTGACTTTGAAATTCTTGCAAAACTTAGCAGGACGGCAGCGCCGCGTAGCGGCAGACATCGGAATCATTACGACGGTTGAAAGCTGCTGCGAGGAAATTCACTGTTGAACTCATGTACGAAAAAACATGGCCGCACGGCCGACGGAACATCAAAGACTATCGTACGGTTGAAAGGCACGTTAAAGAAAAAACTGTCCTGAATACAGATATGATAGGCGTTTTGGCAAAACAGAAAATCGTTGTACGTATGCCTTGAAAAATTTGACGTATTAGGATACGCGTGTTCGAGTGAGTAAGTGAGCGTCGTCAAGGTGTTTTTCTCGAATTAACATTGTGCTTAGACAATTTCATTACGTCACGACTATTTAAGCATATAAAAATTTAACGAGCACTCAAACTTCATCTGTTCAGGTCGTCTAACTCGGATTCGTCACCAAGGGTGGTAACAGTGCGATTCTCTTTGTTGGCAGCGGCTAAAAAAGTGATAACAATAACAGAGATTCAAAAGCTTTATTATTTCCCGCTAAAATTACGTATAGCCTTGATCCCTCCATTGTCTCGTTCTCAATTTAGGTTAAAGGCACTTCGAGCGTAGTATATATACATACACACATCGTAAATTATACAAACGTATAGATATTTAGTCGTACCGTATCGCCCAGTTGAATAGTTTACGTACTATTTAATCGAGGCTGCGTGTTCTTTTTCCAGGAACAAATGTACGTCTCATTTTCTCGTGGACAGTTAAAACGTCCAATTCTTTCTCGCGTAGCTTCTGGATGACGAGTCCCGTCACCGGTGGTCCTTCCTATCGAAAATATACAGCCAGTCCGAGCGATAATTTCGAGACTTAACGATCAGAGTCAGAGACTTTGCAGGTTAGCTCGTGAAAATTGCCACCGGGTATTACCCGGGTGTGCACCGGACGTGAGCGTAGTTATTATTACCACCTAACCGGAGCAATAAGTTAAAAAAGAATTTCAACGACCAATTCCACAAGACGATCAAAGCAAGCGTGAGACTGTTACCGATTAATCTGTAGCAGAGATAAAAAAAACCAACAAATTCCCGCGACGAAATACCAACGCGACTCGAGAATATATTTTTCAAACATAAAACTTTCTCCCGCCCTTTACGAACCCGTTACGAATTTACCCGACGTCCCTTGCGCCTCGGCATAACCCGATAGATCGGCACGGCACAATTTTTCCTCGACCCTAGCGAAAATTTTACGAACGCACTGTACGAACATTACAGAGTGGTATATTTAGCGGGAAATATTTAAGCTCTAATTATACTTGAAATAATCTCTGGCAGTCACGGTAGCAGCCACACCAAGACCAGCTGATGTCTCGTCACGCGAAGTCACGACGTTCTTTCTAATATATACTCGAGGACTTTACGATCGATTTTACGGTAAGTTTCCATTGGCATTATTCCGGCATTTGCATACACAGCAAAGCGAGTCTCTGGTACGACTGAAGTTCCCTCAATGAAAGTGCAGTGCGATAAGGGCACCTCAAGCCACATCCACAGTACCGTATAGGAAATACTTAAGGATAATAACGAATATATTCAAAGCAACAGGTGAAAAACCTTAACCATCGTTCACACGTAGAATACGATTCCGAAGCAAAGAATGACGCGTGGCAACAGGACCCGGATTATACGAGTTTCGAATGAAAACAATGAAAACAAATTTCACGATCGATATATCGAAATCGATAGTAATCGATCAGCGACTGTGGGTGAACGGTGTCTGCGATATATCACGATATCAGGATTCCTCCTGCGAGGACGCCAAGTCGTGGCGTCGACTGCTTCGGGAAGCCGTCGGTCGATTGAAAATGCAAAAGGCGTGTTATTACAAACGAGCACGGATGATAATGAGGATATCGTGAGGGACGGATTAAGATGATCGAGAGTGAGAAACTGAGACGGAGAATGAACATCGCCCGTAACGTGCATTACGAACGAGTCGGAAAGTGCTGTATGCAAAATGGCCGTAAGTGATTATTCGAAGGTAAGAAATACGGGGACGGATGGAAGTCGTTGATAATGCGCATTAACTTCGTGTATTCGTGCGAATTCAATTATTTTAACGTAACCTAGTCCAACGGAAGACAGACAATAGTCTCGCGTCCTTCGTAACCGGAAACCGACTCGACTGACATCCCTGATCATGACACGTGACCCGATCGAATGTCGTGACGTCATTTGTTGACGAAACGACAACGTAGTTATTCCATTGTCAAAAGAACAGTGCCAAACGATCGCGAGCCCAATCAAATCCTAAATCCGGCCTCACGGAAATTTTTCAAAAATTTTATTTAAAAATCTAGACCTAGTCACGATAGGTAAAATTCGTTAATAGGTAAACGTGAAAAATCTGACTGTCGCGTAGGGCCAATCGGTAGCCTACAACGATCTAAATCGATCAGAAACTATACCGGGTGACAAACGTGAGGTTTTCATTACGAGATCGATATACTGTATATATGCGATTCTAACAGAAAATTACAAGATCGTTACGGTATCGGTAAGAAGAAGTGCATAGACGATGTTGAGTAATTTAATGGAAAAAAAAAAATTTATTTTAGAGGACGCATAGTTCCGCCGCCCACGTGGCCTACGTGTATCTGGATTCCTGGACGACGAGTCAAACGAGAGTGAAACGAAGGACGGGAACGAGGAGGTGGAGCATCATGGCGAGGAGGTTAGGAACGAAAACAAGAGGATTCCTAGTAATGGCCGTGATTGCTTAATTAGCAGCCATTCGAGCAAAATGCCGTGGCTGCTGCTAGTGCTTCTCTGTAGGAACTACGGGTGGGTAGCTATCCTAACCTCGTAGAGCTCGTATGACTCGCAAGTCCAAGGTTAAACCTCTGATGCAACCATACGAGCAAATATATGTATATACATATTCGCATTGAACACGTGTGATATCATGCGTCCATGCGTTACGTTAATGCGTGAGCATATGTGAACATACGGTCTCAGTACGATGTACGAAGCCCATTGCGCGCCCTCGTATCGCATCCATCCGGGCTACGAGGCGACGATAAAGAGAGACAAAACAAATGAACGAACGCGAAGAAAAACAAAGGAAAATCTACGGGCGATAGCGTCTACGGGCGCGCGGATTTATCCTCGTCGTAAAAATATTGCCGCGTGACGTAACGCGTTGAGCTTTTGAAAATAGGTTATGGACAAATTTATATTTCGAATTCGGTTCGGCGCGGTAACCGGTCGTTTCTATGGCGACGCGCATGCGCAGAGATCTCGGCGTGGAAATTAGGAAGTCAATGTAAAACTTTTAATTGGGAATTTTTTTACGAGTGACGTCATGGGATTTTTGGTCTCTTCGTACTCGGAACGGGCGAGGTTCCCTTTACGTATCTGTGGGACGCGCGCGCCTTTACTCGTATCTTTTATAAGGATTATCGTAATCAGCTGTGTTACAGGGCGGGACGACGAGGGCGCCTCTAGCGGGACGCCCTGGAAACGGTTGTCCGACTTCTCTTTTCTAGTGCGCGGCGCTCCTCTTTCGGTATATTTATAATATATGGCATGGGTGTATATATATTTACGAAGCAATGCGCGACCGATCGACCGAGAAGGAGATTCAAGGTTTCGCGGGATGAAAAGACGAGACGAGAAGTGTCAGTGGTCTCTGTGATCCAATGGCAACGAGGTCTCCGGTATAAAGAGATAAAATTTTATTTATAAAACGAGAGTTTTCACGATAAACTCAAACCTTCAGACAAAAATGATCATTTATCGTTTTTCAATCTTCCTTTTCAGTTTCGGTCTTCTTTTTATCACCGAGGTTCCTACCTCCAACAAATATATATATATATATATGTACATATATACAGATATGCGTGTACAGACGCCATTACTTATCGTATCCTTGCAACACAACCGGATCGTGACTAACGTTTTCTCGGTAACGTCTTTGCCCCGACACGAGACAATGTAAATACTACTGGTCTTATTATTTTTATTTCAATAATTCCGTGTCAATGAGTCGACGAAAATATTATTAAACGTCTTGCATACTTTTCTTACGTTACCTTAACTTTAATTTTTCGTTATAAATATCTCCATAGTGTATATATATATACGCATGCCTGTAAATTCAAGGAACCACGTCGGTAAAGCAGCCAGGCAGGTTACTTTCGAAAGCGTGAACCTGCGAAGGAATAAATTTTTTATGGCAAATTATAAGAACGTGATTAGGCCAAGCCGTGTAATTAGATGGGCGCAGAATGACAGAATTAAGATTGATGAGGAGTTTCGAAGTTGATTTGAATTCACGAAACACGCATGATAAATTGATTGTTTTGGCGTCTGGTAAATTAAATTTTAAAGGGATGTCTGGACGCCACGACGCTTCCAATTTCTGACGTACAACCGGAAGAAGAGGAAAAGTAACGAAAACTTTTCTCTTTTTTTCTCTTCCAAATGTCAGAAAAACGTCACGTGAACCAGTCGAACAGGATAATATAATAGCGATTAAACGATAAAGGTGAGTGCACAAGAAAAGCAAATGCTTGTACATAGGAACAAGAAAATAATAAAAGGTAATCGCTCGTATTTTGCATCTACGACAAGTAGTGGCACGATTTTTTCTCTATCGGGCACCAGAGTGCGCTGCTGCTTTTTTTGCAAGATGATTTTGCAATTACTTATATATATATATATATATATATATATCTCCATACACGAGTCTCCCTACTTCATGAGAACAGAGCAGATTACCATCGATTATTCCACTTTGGTAAACAAATATATTATTCGTGGCCATTACCGGATCGAACCGGTATACTATTTAACCGATAAAAAAAGTCTCGATCATTAATAATGGATGTTTGACATTATATATATGACCGCCCATGCCCATATCGGTAGTTTGTCAACGAATCCTAATGATGCCCGCTCAGCTTGTGAAACATTTGTTAAGCGCGGAATTTGTGGGAAGCTATTCCAAAGCAGCTATTTTTGGCATCCGTGAGTGTACCTCCCGCCACGCTGCTGTAACCTGCGGAAATCCTTTGTTTTTATTGGTGCCACTTAAATGCTTCTCATTTAAAAACTATTGCGAATTTTGGCAAATGGTTTGCGAGAGGGTACTCAAGGCACCTCCAGCCATCGCGCACTTTCCGGTCCAAAAGTAGTTCTGGGACACCCTGTATATGTAGGTCACGCCTCCACGATAAACCAGCAACTATTATCCACGATTTAAAAAAAAAAAATGAAGAATCCATTAACTCGATATTTGGTTAAAAAACAAATGGACTAAAATTAAACTATTTATGCAGCAACCGTCGTGGCAGGCAGCGCATTGCCAGTTAAACCAGTGGGGGAGGCCAGTGGCAGTTAAGACTGTCAGATCTTTAAATATTTACATGTTCAAATAGTTCAGACGATCGGACAAGGTTCAAAGACTCGGTGCAAGCATTGACTTTTATTAAAGTTATCAAATGACTTCTGGACGTGCGAGGTGCGGAGAAGACCCAAGGCGTCCATTGGGATTAACGTTACGCTCTCTGTTATGCGCTCCATCTGGCGGCGGCAATACGAACTTCGCCGTCCGTTCATCAATTCGCCGTAACCAACCGAGGTCTCTGGCGTTGCTATTATTTTACAGCGAAGTTCAGCATCCTGCGATTATGTAAATCGTGTCTATCCACGTATGACTCTGGTGAAGACGTACTCGTCGGGTGCAGCGTGAACGTAGACCAGGAGTCGCGAGGAAGTAATAGAATGACCCTCCTTGAATAGACGGGGTCAGGGTAACCTGAGCTTTTTCTTATTCCACCAATCGTCGTTACCAGACATTTGCATTACTAATCGCCCATAACCGGCGGCAACTCGCATGATTTTCTCATTGTAAAATTCGCAATCGATTCGCATCCGTGAAATTTGCGAAACGCCAATTGGATCGATTATCTTTGAGCGCATAATAAGCGCTCATAAATAGCGCTCCTTTTCGAAAAGAGTTGACAGAATTTTTTTTTCATAAACAACTCACCTGTAAACTCCATAGTGCTTTCCACTGGCGCGATCGCCGCAGATAGAGCACAGGTGTTTGCTTCCAGATAAAGGATGATTTGGAGGATAGGGCGAACCCGCACCGGTTTTACTTTGACCGCCGGGCGACGTGCTCAAAAGACTGCTGTGTCCACCGATGCTGTACGACCTGAAATTCGTGAAATTTTCATCAGACCAACCCTTAGAACGGCACCCTTGGTCGCGGGGCCGTACGTGCCTAACCTAACTTAAAGAGGACGATAAGTCTTCATGAATCCTTAAGGGTGTTTCAGAATTATTAAGTCGACGAGCTGACTGGAGGGTGCTGAGATTTAACAAATTTCATATAAATATTTCACGAGCCACCCCGTAGCAGCTTATACCAAATTTTATGGTCAAAAGGGTAGTTTTAGTCGCACACTTTATACGTGACGCATATACATAGATATTACTTCGGCAAGGATCGCGACGATATAATTCGCCAGCATCAATGTCAAAATTTTTATTTCACTAAACTCACCCTGGACTGTTCGGACCGGAAGGACTGAAGTTACCAGTGTTGATAAGACTGGCCGTATCCGGCTTCATATCCATCGGACTCTGCGGCCCCACCGAGGACATTGACATGTGGCTGTTGTCCAGACTCAGCCCTGAAAGTGAAAGCAGAACGGACGTCAAACGAATAGGTCGTTAACGCCGGCAGCGCCATCTGCCGGACAAATTTCAAAATTTCATTTTTACAGCGGCAAAGGACCCTTCCCACTTGACGTTCTTTGACTGAATTAGGTTCGAGAACGACCTACAGACCCCAGAGCACGGATTTGGTTGGGTGCGATCTAACCTAACCTAACTTTGATCCAGCGCTAGTGTAATGCTGACGCTAGGGAAACGTTGGCGTTAGCGATATACCGGCATCGGCGCTAGATTAGCGTCGACATAATTATTTTTACGGATCCGAATTGAAATTAAATAATCATACCCAATTTCAAAATTGAGTTCCAGATAAATTATAAAAAATTCGCGAGGCAATAAAATGACTCTTTCAAGACAGTCCCCGAACTCAGATTCACCGTGTTCTCAAATACGCCGATCACTCGATCCTGTAGAATTCTTGTACTCGAAGATCGAAGATAATTTGTTAGAATACTTTTTTCTTGATTTGTAAAGTAAAATATTATCGCGCTCCGACATACACTCGGAACGATAATTTTTTCTTTCGTTCCCGTTAGCACAATTACAAAATAATGCATTAAAAGCAATTAAGGCTCGTACACACTATTTTTACCCAATTTATTCGCTTCCATTTGTATTCCAAATGACGCGTTGCTTAAATAATTATCCTCGACAAAGCCATCTCGAATAGGATACGTGTACCCAAATAATACTTCACATGGAATAATTGCCCTGATAATAGCCACATTTTGCATGAGGTACCCACATGTGTCCCCGAAGAATACCGTACGTCAAAGAATTGTCCTTGAAAAAGCCATTTCACATTCAGTGACAAAAATAAAAAAAATATATAATACAAAAAACTGAAGTACTCTTACTATATCCGTAACCCCAAAAATATCCATTTGATACATTATACAATAAAAAAAAAGAAGTATCCATGTCGGAATAAAAAATTTTTTAATTTATTCCTATTTCAAAATAATTATTTCCAAAAAAATATCAATCTTCAAAGCACCCCTCGTGCAAATATTCCTAATACGTATGTATATATATATATATATATATATATATATATCATAAATAACGTTAACAGACACCCAAGTATGCGAGCGCGACATAATAAATGAATCCAATTAATCGATCGCTATTAAAATGACATAATTAGAGAAAATTTTTTCCTCCAATATCTCATCCACGATAAATGCTCGTTCGATTATAACCAGAGGCAAAACCTTCAAGGCGAACGCTCAGAGCGTGCAGTAAGTAGACACGCGGTCGTTCGAAGTAGCGCAACGGCGTCCTTGAGTGGTATGAAAATTTTATTGTAGAATTCGATAAAACCGGAGACTATTAGAGCGTCGTGCCTCTACCGGCCAAAAAGGTAACCACTTAGTCAGGTTATCGTCGATAAGGAAGGTCGCACGAGGGTAAAAAAGAAAAGCAGGATCCTCGAGTAAAAAAATTGAAGTGAACGAAGGACGACGTGAGGAGGCAAGGAAGTTGTCGTAGCGAATAATAATAATAATTGACGTCAACTGTAATTGAGAATTCGCCATTAATCGCGAGAATTCACAGTTAGCAGCAGGAAGCGACGGCTGCGTTTAAATTTCCCGCAGAAAGAGATACGCGGCAGGTGTTGATCGATCGATGCGAATGATCGATCGATCGTAAAGGGGACGAAGGATGTAACCCTTGGTGAGATACACTCGTCGAGAGAGTTAATTAACGGAGGAACGGACTGGTGCAGAGGTCAGGGGTCACCAATGACGTAAGGTACCTTCGAAGCGAAGCTTGCGAATGAAAAGTTTGATTTATGCTCGGCTGACAGTGAAAAGATTGTTGGGGCGGTTTTTTTGCCACTTTTCAAAATTATCACAACCTTTGGAAAAGCTTTTTTAACGCCATTCGGTTGAATGGGTGCAAACAAAAGTCGCGTAGGCGCCATTTGTATTTACTTGGCCGCGATCGGGCTCGACATCCCTGACCCGGACAACGTCCGGTTTTGGGCGTCCGATGGCGTCGCGGGCGTCGATCTGACCTAGTCGCTATATATATATATATATATATATATATATATATATATATATATATATATATATATATATATATATATATATATAGCGCTGTATGAAATAAATCAACCACGTGGGCGATGATAACGTAAGAGCGATATTCATTATCACAATAATTAGCAAAACGGAGGATACTAATTTTGGAATGGGATAAAAAAATTATTAATCTTAATAAAAAAAAAAAACATTTTTTTTAATTTCTCAAAATTTTACTCATTTTCAGTTACCCGTGATACGAGCTCCCAAATTTTTTTGGTCAATCAGGTCAGGATACGCTTGTCGCTAACAGGAAGTGCCGTTCAGGAGATCAATGACGAAGTGACTTTACGAAATATTGCCAGAGGCCAAGGAAGAGCGAAAGAAAAAAATTAAGGTTACATGGTATCCCCGTGAAAATAATTTGAAAAGGCATATATATCAGGAAAAGGCATATCAGGATAACTGATAAGAGCTAATATATATACATAACAAGCAGAATGAAATTGATTGACGGATGAAAAAAAATAGAGCAAAAAAAGATGAAGCGAAATTCATCCCGATTCCGCGAGCGTAATAGGTGCGCTGATAGTCGTCGCGACGTCAGGCGTCTCTCTCTTTCGAGTAGTCGCCGTATATGAATCATCGCGACGCATTTAGTACCGCGTCCCGTATTGGAGTTTACGAAGGCGAGACGTCGTGGGAACGGGCAGAGACAAATCGTGTGTTCAACGTGGATGGCGCGGTTAAAGAATTTTGAAACGCCCTTTGCGAAGTGACCCGCGACGCCGTACGAGAAAAACACGTCTTGTGGGAAGAAGAAAAAAGAAGATAAAAAGGACGCCGGGTGGGAGGGGGGGGTGGTGGTTACAGCCGCGGAAGAGCAATCCGTTCCGAAAGTAGATCGGCGAAAAGGATCCTCTTGGTGTCTCCAGTATTCGCCGAGTTAGCGTGGACGTATAAAAATACATATTCCTTTTTGCTGCGACCAGGGCACGAAGCTGGGAAGTACGGTCGCACGGGCGCGCGCCTGAGAATCTCTCGGGGGCTGAGCGCGACGTCGAAGAAGAGGGAGCGAGGACCGGTTTTACATGGAAGGAATTGAATGCCCGATAAGATAAATGACATTTTAATCGACTTTGGCGGCGTCGCCGATTCTACGTCGGGTGAAAGAGTGTCAAAGGAGGAGTGGGGGCACCGCAGGGACACGGAGGGAGGATAATCACTGAGGACGTGTCAAGTGCATCGGTAATTGCACGTTCTGACGTCACTCTAGTCAATTCGACGTGCATGCTGGCGGCGAATGCGCAGCAGACGAACAAATTAGAATTTACGACCGGTAGTTCAATTGTTGAATTTGGCGGGTACCTTTCAATCCGATAATAACAATGATAAGAATTTCGGAGAAGGCGATGGGATATCAGATGCGGATTGACAAATGGATTTGGGGAGGAGATAAAAAATGTCACTCAATGAAATTTCAAGGAGAGTTATATAAAGATTGAGATATTTGTGATTTTCGGGTGAATTCTCAATCGGCGATTAAAAAGACAATGCTCGATGATCGGTAAGAGATTTTCTGTATTGGTAGAGGACGACTCCCCGATCTTCTACCTTTCATTGCCTTTTGGAGTCAGATGCTTAAGGAATTGCGCAAAGTTGCTGTGAGAGATCGGATCTGGTTGCCGGATTGACCGGCATGGAAACGCGCCTTAAACGGTCCTCGAGCGTAGTCCATTATATGATATAGTCCAGAAGGTAGTATACATTGCGAAATCGAATTCAATTATCTCTGTTACACTGTTGTGTCAAAAAATCGTAAAGTTTTGAATGGCGCTAAAATAATAATTAAAAAAAACGAGAATCCGCCATTGTAAACCGAACGAAACGATGTCTTAACGAGGCGCGTGACATTTTACTCGATAAAAAGTCATTGCCGCGTGTTACTATAGTCTGCGTTAAAAACTCGGTCGTAAATGTAGCGCAAACCGTATAGTACGTTGCAACGAACGTGGCTGTGCGAATGACACTTGTTTAAATAAACACAGCCAGTAGTCGAGTTCATTTGCATGAAAATAAAATAATAATTCGCAATACAAATATATATATATATATATATATATATACACGCGGATACACATATCTACACATTTTTATCTCTACGCATATCCAATATCAACCCGTTTCGTACATATTTCAAATCTGCGTATGCGCGCGCAACTCACGCCCGATCGCGCACCACGTGACCACGCAAATACGTACAACGCGAAGCATGCCGTATATCGTCGTACACGAAGGTCCCGTGTGCCGCAAGTGCAAAACAATTGTCTGCGAGTTTGAAGACCGAAAGTGTCCGTTAATGAGAGATTAAAGTCTGCCTCTCCCCCCTCTCTGCGTCCCCTAGATAAATTTAAAAACGATTAACATCCATTCAAATTTCCCGGCATCTATGTCGTATACAAAAAAAAAGAAACAAGGACGCGTATTTCGTATCTTTTCGACGAATGCACAATTCAACGTGAATTCGTACACCCAATAAATGGCGGGACGTACAAGTGAACGACACAGGGACTTAATGCCGTACACAACGCAAGCCAGTATAAATATACCGGTAGGATCGTAAGAATAATGGTGGGAGTTTATGCGCTCATGACGGGATGCCGAGGTTGAGGGTCTCGACGAATGTGTGCAAGGCCAAATCCAGCTCGGGCATCCTCCCGACGGGCACCTTGACCAGGCGCAAACAAGCTGGTGCAACGATCGAACATAACAGTGAGACGCAATACGTCGCATAAATTGTCCCGTCTCTTGCGCCTCCGAGTTGGTGTATCGACGTGCGAGTAGTAGAGAACGACCTACAGCGACAAACTGTTCAAAGGCGTCAGACACTGTCCCCCCCTCGTGTGCACGGGACTCGCGTTCCTTCGAATATTCGCTAAAAGGTCAAACGAGTTTACGTGCATTTCCACGAGCACTTTATACGTCGAAGCGCCACTGCGCATGCGCGCGCATAGTTGTGTAGTCTACATAGAGAAGGCAGTGTCACCGGTTGCAGGTACGGCACGTAGAACGTCAACGCGCTGCAAGGAAGCTTAGAGAAAAAAACGAGACTCAGTGGGGTAGGCGAGTTTGTTTTTACAAATTGACAATTACGTTGGAAAATGTACGAGTAGCATTTTTAATGATTATAAAACACGTGAAATAGACACTACTCGCTCCCGCGCACAGCGTGCGCGTCTGGGTTCCCCGACCTGTTGCCAGGCAGAAGTATTGGCCCTTTTTGTAGAAGTTACAAGCGTTCCGTATACATGGCTCAGTCGCTTCGCGTGCGACACGAATGTTCCGGGGCTTGAAGGTGCGCTCACAACGGCGATTGTCCCTAGTGAGAGAGAGTAGAGAACGGGAACGAGGACTGGTGTGACGTTACGTGGATATCTGGTGTGTAACAAAGGGAGAAGTAAATGACAGAGTGAAATGCAATAATGAATTTAGATCAAAGTAGGGACTATTAAAAGATAAGTAGTGAGGTATAGCTTGCGCGGTAATACGTAAGTCGGCCATTTTCTTGTTTATCGAAACAACGCGTAAAAGTCGATATTCTCAATATCGTCGGTCGTGCGCCGATATTGATTTAACGTAATCGGTTAATTTTCAAATTTCGCGCCACCAGTCGAATCCTTACGGGCAATATGAGAAATGGCTGCTTTTCACTGGTCTTACGTCACTTCGATCGAATAAATTACCGAGGCACGACGCGTGTCTGAAGTCGAGACGAAAAATGTAATCCAACGCTGCGCGAAGGACGACGTGATCCTCGCGAAGGAAGTGGAGCGAGAAAGTATAGGTATTACTTCCTGTCCAACGGAGAAGGAGAACGTCCTTCGGAACAAACGCACATTGATAGTCCATAGATAACCTCTTGTAAATCAAGTCTAGTTATACGTAAGAAAAAGTAAATAAGAGAATTACGCAATGTCACGTTCTGAACGCTGCTGATCCTCCAGCAGTAAGTCGGTAACAGCAAAGAGGATAAACTAATAAAAATACGTCTTGCCCGGACAAGGTCGAGCCCTTCGATTTCCTTCCTTATCTAAATCCCTAGCACGAGGTCACCTCCGTCCCAAACGGGTCTAGCGACTTTCGTCACAACAAAGCTCAAGACATATTCAATTGTGAAGTTTCGTTCCCGAGAATTAAATATACTCTACCATCTGCCTAAGTTGATGGTAACTACGGATCATAAAGCCACATATTTTTCGAATGATAAAACAGTCTGAGAATCAGTAGCCATGTGAATTGGACTTTTAAGTAAAAGATTTCTGACTGACGAATGGCTCGTCTGGCTGCCTGACTGCATTACCGACCGATTGTTTTTCTAGGTTAGGAAGGGGACTCGGCAAAGACTCACTCGTTCTCTGAAGGTTTGTCTACATGACAGGTAATCCCTTCGGTATGGTTCCTAGATATGAAATCCGAGACAATAACGTGTCTGGGGTTTGGGTAGGCGGTTCGAGGAACGTGAAGGTCGGACGCGTACAAACTCCATTCCAGACGTCTTTTCCCTTACGTCGCGCAAGTAAACTCAATAATCCACACAGTTTCTCGCGCGAGGGTCGTGCAATTTTTATAGGACCCGAGCCAAGTCAGCAACCTGCCTTGCAAGGGTTGCGAGGAGGCTCAGGAAGACGGATAAGGGTTGAAGGAACCGAAGATATATATATGTCTATGACAAGATACACGTAATCTAACCTATAAGCTTGTACGATATGAACGAACTGAATTTATAGCAAGGGACAGCGCAGTTCAATGGACTTAATTTGTCGGAAGCTACATAACCTCTCTTAAACATTTATGCTACGTTCATAATCGGCAGGCATGCTCAGTGTCGTTCTATAGTCAATTTAGCTATTACCGTATAAATACGAAGCATCGAATAGGCCTCTCGAACACCTTGTCGGATACTTTCAGGATGAATTATCTGCAATTTGATATCACGATTCTGGACAACCTTACTAAATGCAAGTCCATTAGCACGCGACAGCCATTAAAAGATCAGCTTTTTGTTCATCGTCGAAGCTCTCAAGGCTCCGAGTCCCGTCTTGCAACACGTTCCGAGACACGTCCGCCATGTTTGTTCGCGGGGAGCAGAAAAATCCAGGATGCGGGAGAGCGTCTATCGTATCATCCTTTCATTATTTCTTTTTGCAAAACCTGTCGAACCCTGCATCGCAAAATCGGACTGTCATTCCCGATTGAAATTACCACTCGAACGTTTTCGGTTAACTATAACGACTCGCGCACAAAACCGTCACACTTTACATTGGAGATCCGTGACATTGGACTATTTTCATCCTTGTCCTTTTTCTGCCTTTTTTCCCCCTCATTTATCTTTTATTTCATAAGGTCATTCTAGACCAAGGTTTTCACAGTCGAACGAACTTTTTGGACAAGTCACGCCCAATTGAACGTATTAAGTGTTGACCGAGGATCGGGCGACAGTCACGCGCCGATACGTAATTTAATCGAAATTTGAATTACGCACAATCTGCAAATCCCAGAGTAAACCAAAAACGAAAATCAAAGTGCACAACCAACAGTGCGGGGCCCCAGTATGCCTTCCGTGAGTCGTCGCTATGTTTAGCTACGTTGTAAACCCGCGGGAACTTGGAATAAGGCGAGTTTACCTCGTAGAAAAAAAAGAGAGAAGAGACGCCGTTGAGGTTATGTTCGTCATTGACATGATAAAGAGTCTCCGTATGAGAAGAAAATAAAAGAAAGAAAATTCCATCATCCTCCGGTATAGCATATCACTCAGGTGTTACCTTACGAGAAAGAAAATGGCAGCAGTCTTTTCTCCGAAGCGTCAAAATAAATCGGCCTTCGTTCATCGTGGTTTCCTTTATGTTTCTGACTCGGGACGACAGCGCATCCTTGCGGCGTGTCTTGGTACTTGTAACACATCGACGTTTCGAGAATGTCGGAATCCTAAGAATATCGGAAACATGTCAGAATGGACAAACTAACACGCAACGTACCGATACGTAATCGAGAATATAGATACGCGACGGCCTTTAGAGCCACCGACGGCAAATGTGATTTTTCAGTGATTACCCGCCGCATGGTTAGAGTCCCGGGAGTGTGACGTCAGCGTCTGACAATTTAGACAATCTCCCAAAAGCGGAGACCAGTTTCCCGTGGGTCAGAGCCAGGGCCGACGTTCGTGCCTGCTGGCTGCTGCTACGATCCCGCACAACTCTGCATCGTTCTGGCAAATCGTCGCGATGAAAATTACACGGTGCATCGCGTCATGGAGACTCGTGCTAAGGCGACGGACACGCCGGACTAAGCTTTCGGCTAATCTCGGCTATATTCGGCATCGCTCGCTCACGAGTGAAGACCGAAAACTACCGATCGTTGCCGAACTGTCATTAACGTATTCGTTAGAAAGATGCATTCCCATATATCCATAATAACACAGATATATATATACACATACACGTTAATCATAAATTAATTCAATAATCGAATTATGAATTATATCTTACAGCTATCAATTTAGATAACCAAGAAACGTACCAAAACTTCAAAAATCATTCCATGCACCTTTTTAACCATACAATTATAATGTAATATTAAATATTGTAGTTAACGAACGACAGACAAGGTTGACAATTATTTCACACGATTATGAACGGTAACCGTGGCAAAAATGCTTCAAGAAGGTTACAGGATTACATATTAAAAGCAGTCTAGTGTTTCCTTCGACCGAAAAAGGCCGATTAAATTTCGCAGAACGCAACTATATTCCAGTAAGACATCCGTTAACGTGTACGTCAGGCAGTCGCGCTTCATCAAACGTCCAATTACAATGACGAAAATTGCTCATTCGGATAGAACTTCTAGATACAGGCGGGAGTCTGATCAGAATTCCTATGAATTCCCCTGAATCCTATAAACGATTAATTTAAGTTCGACGAAACGTAATTAAATTAAATTTCCATATAATTTTCTTTTCTAATTCAGCCAAAAATTTTCGCCACAAATTACACCCATCAATCATCCACACTCCCGGGAACTTCTTTCGCCCAAGAAGACACTTTTTGACTCGCCTGGTATAGCAATAAATTATGAATCCAGGATGACGTAGCGACGGGGGTGGCGAACGGAATGAGAAAGTCGGAAAGGAGCAAGGGAGAGGAGAGGAAGGAGTTTTTTAACAGTTTCCTGCACGGAGCTGCGACCGGATGTGCTCCCACACTAATATCGCGTTATGATGTTGCAGATGCAACCCACACAAAGTAGACCGGGGGGTTTGTACCTAAAATAGTACATACACAGATACGTGGTTTGGCCATGGAAGTCCTTGAACCCAATCGAACAAAAAATTAATCAATACCTGTCTCATTAATTTTATTACTCTTCCCACTTTTCGTTCAAACCGTTCATACGAGAGCCAATCGGATCACCGAGATCGCAATGATCCTGCAAAGAGGACCAATGGCGTGACGGCTGACGTACGTGTCATGGATAAAATTTTTTGTTGACAAATTCACCCTCAAAAAAATTTTTTAAATAAAAATCAAAGCTTACAAAGAGAAATAAACAATTTTTTTATCCAGCATTTCGAATAATCGCGATACGACCGAGACGAATCTCCCAGCTTCTACTCACATCTGGCCGTTCAAGGATCCCTGCCGGCAGAGGCCTCGATCGAGATCGATAAGGTAGGTACTCACCTGAAACAGAAATGATAAATAAAGATTAAGCGCCGAGCGCGATACTTGGGATTCATGTAAATTCGTAGAAAAACCCTGCTTCGATTTGTTTTTTTCTACAAATCGACGAAAGATACACGATAACGATTACCTATTGGGTTTGAATCCAAAAATTATTTTTCTCAAAATAAAAGGAAAAATTTTTTTTTCAAATCTACCAAAACTCACGAGTTTCCCACGAGAGGTAAAAATTCCTATAAATTTCATTAATTTAAATAACTCTCACCCAAATTACTCGTATGTCCATTTATCGTTACAGTCATCGAGTGTACAGATAAAAAATGCATACGCAAACACACAGCATACGCAAATGACAAGTGACATACCTGCATACGAGGACACAGCTATATATATACAATATCAAGAATAAACACATTAATATGCACATATATATACATATACAAGGCGTTTCGTATCCCGTGTCCAAATCGACGGCAGACGTCGCTGAAACATTCGCACAGTAGTTTTCAAAGTTTTTTTCAAATTTTTCTCAGCACACCAAAACAATTTAACCTCGATCACCGAATTAAAAATCCAATTAAAAAATCCACTCTCCCGCATACGCGTTAAATTATCATACATAAAATCGTCACGACGCACGCGCGACCCTCCCCCCTCCACCTGTGTATGCACTAAATTTAATTACCATAAAATCCCCCCCCGCCGTCCAATTTCCCAAAAAATTCTCCAGGGCCCTAAAACCCAGAAGCCTATCAGCCACACCCGCCGCAATGCACGCTCAATGCAACCGGTGACGATATACCTATGTATGCATCTGGTGCAACGCCGTCAGCATTACGACGCACGTGAACGCACTGCATGCCGATGGCACCGTATCTCCAGTATTGCATTAGAGAATACTAGAGCACTGAAGTACCGGAGCGTCAAAGGCTGGTACCGTCCGTGTACGCAGTCTTGTAAACACATGTAGTAGCAGGACTACATAAATACCAAGGCGTGACAAGCCTGACACAATGCACCTACGTGCATCTAAATAACGCACTGCGCCATATGCACGTACGCACTGCCAAGAGCCAATTTTCTCTCTTATATATTTTTTTTCCCCCAAACATTTTTTTACTCCCCTTCATTAAATCCACTAGTCCTTTTAGTTCCGTGCGAACCACAATATTTGCATACGTCACTGTCACCGCGACCAAGTGCATCTACATTTAGATCTTCGTTGCCGAGTAACCAGTTTCTTTTTTCTTTCCTTCTCCGTTGGCACTTCGTCCGTGCCAGCCAGTATACCTGCAGTGTCGGATCGGTCGCGTGAGTGCATCATTGATCATTATTGTTGTTATGGCGCTGCAGTATCACAAAAAACATCTGCGCGTCCGGTCTTCGTAAGATATATATATATATATATACACACACGTCAGTGACTATAGTGACTATTTTCACGGGGCGTACTAGAATTTCTGACAACTGTCAACAGAGAGACTGACACGCCTGCAGTCGGCGTTCCGTGCACGATGCATATATGTGGAAGCTGTGTGAAATTAGAGTAGATAGTGAAATTCGATATAGCCTTAGATAATGGGGTGGCGGGGGGGAAGGTAGTGAAATTAATAAAAAATAAATAAAGATCGTGACAAAATGTAATTTTTCGGTTCACCTATGCAGTATGGCGTCGATAGTAGAAGCATAAATTTTTCACTGTTATTCGTGAATACGAAAAAATTGGCAAACTGGTTAACGATGGGCAACAAGGTAAAAATAAAGAATGCCGCGTATGCACGAGCCGATGCGCAGCGAGTCTGGCGCAGGTAGGGAGGGGGAGGATCTATATGCAGCTGCACTTTTTATAGAACAAGGTGCCACGTGCAGGGGTACCTGGGTCAGCGGGAGAAGGTCAAGGGGTCAGGATTTAGCCGAGCTGCAGAAAAACGAGGGAACTCCCCCCGTCGCGCCCTTACGACCCATCGGGTTGCAGCCGTAGGTGTCTATCGTGCCGGAGAACAGGTGCGTCGCGACGAGTTCGCCGGAACGCGAAATTTCGTCTGCTAATAAATATTTTTAAAAAATATCGCCGACTCTTCGGCACCGACAGGGAAATATTGTCAAACGATGCAGAATCGAACGAAAGATAAAATGACAGCTGTCAAAGTCTAACAATCGCCCGCTCCAAAACCGGATAGCCTTGTGTTACGTTATACGTATTTAAAGATGCGTCTAACGACGATCGCGTTACATGATTACAAGATGAAAAAAAAAAAAAAAAAAAAAAAAAAAAAAAAAAAAAAAAAATAAGCATACAGCGACGACGCCAACGCGGAAGTACCAACGTCGGAATAATTAATAAAGCGAATGAGAAATTGGCATTGGGTTCTATACTTACATAGAAACGACTACCGCGTGCTTTCGCAATTTAGCAATGCGGCTATTCTCATAATAAAATAACGCCCTGATGCCTTAACCTAGAAAAGTGTTGCATTGACCTGAAAGATAAAATACCATAACCTGAAAAAAAAAAAAAAATAATTACTGTAACCTAAAAATCGCATTCCCATAAAACGACGCGTAAAATCGTAGTGACGATAGATTCTGGAAGAAAAAAAAAAAAAAAAAAAAAATTATATTCCCACGATTACGAAAGTTACGAAATTCGTAGACTTCAAATTTTCATAGGTCATCCAGTACAACAAAGCGGAAGTCGGCTACGAGAAAAGAAGTGCGGCATGACGAATTATCCTGATAGTAATTCCTGACAGTCTCAAGGACCTGCTCGCCAGATATATTTTCTCATCGGGAGCGATCTCCACTCGGCGTCTATACCCGATCGACAGGAGGTACTAGGCGAGACGCGAAAATTACGTAAGGTGAGGAGAGGGCGAAGGTCATTCGGTAAATCGGCACGTTCGTTCTGCTATGACGATATTTATGCGGGTATATATATATATATATATAGTTTGAGTTTGATATATATAGTTTGAGAGCATAACGATTGCCCAGGCAGTGATGCCGTCACAACGTTTTCAGATCAGTACTGTGTACGCACCTTAAGGATACGCCAAGACCAAGCAGCAGCACGCGCATGCGCAGAAGATCGAGTATTTTAAGGTTAATAGTACGACGGGGTCAATAACCCCATTATTAAGAAAAAATAATAATTTACGCACCGCCTGTTGCGAACGCTCCTTAACCTTCCTTAAGTGCAGTGGATTATCCTTGGTACCGTTTAAATTTCCCGCCATGATCCGTCACCTACGGGACTTATCGTAAAATGGCGACCCTCCGCATTATCGAGTCAACGAACGGATAAGCCGGCAGTACACGGAGACGAAATAGTGGTGTATACGAAAGATTACGATTATTCGCTCTACTGGATGAGAACGTAATGCGGCCTGGTGAAATAAACGAATAAGTTAGTCACGGTCACGTTGTGCACCGTGACACGTGCAGGAAATTCCCGTACGGGGAGTCACACGTGTCGCGCATGCGTAATGCTTCTTTCCGGACGGCGTCTGTACTATCGCGTTACGCGAGCAGCGACATGTTCGTGAGATTGCAATAGATATATATACACAATGCACATAGAATCATCGAAGAAAAGAGAGCTGAGGGCGAATTTTCATGAAAGAAGTTACACGTCAGTGCCAAGGAAAGAGCTGCGTTGCCGTGCGAGTGATTCCAAAGAAATTTCCCCTTCGAGGCGGAATTCATTGATGCCAGTGTCTATACAGATGTACGAGTGTATACGAATAGCCATGAAAACGCAGCCTGTCGTAACGATCGTCAGTGACGTAAGCAATAAATTAAAAAAAAAAAAAATAACATAAACGTAAACTTCCTTCCTTATGACTGCCCCCTCGAACGAGGAGACCTGGAAAAACAGTGACATAGATACGGCCCTGGGGGTTTCGAGGCTCGAGAAGTAAGTAAATTAAAAGGACGGTTAAAGCAACTCGAAAAATAATACTTTTGCCTTTGTCGTGTATACACGAGGAGCAGACTGTAACGAAACCGTCGACGGGCAGTCTCGAAGAAAATGGTTTCTTTCGTTTAACGAGTGAATTAAAGGTAAAAAGAAAGAAATAAAGTAAGATAGGTAAAACCTGCAAGAGACACAAGGAAGCCATCATTTTACTTCTTGTGAAACTGGCCACGTTTGCTTCTGACAGTTCAATTACCGAGAGCCCATATTCTTTCCCGATGTGGAACCGGCTTCTCGTATTTTACGTTAAACGTGGAAATTCTTCGTCCCACGCGCACATAACCGCTAATTGTATACGTACTGGCAATTCTGAGCCAATGGCCAATCGGCGTTGCGGTCGTTAAAACGTAATCGCGGTTGTCGACCAATGTGTATCGCCCGGCATGCGCTCTCACACGTGACATACATCGATAGCAGTTGCACTTCACGGCTCGTTCACATCGGTGCCAAGGTTGCGGCTGTGCGTCGCTCTCTACGTAGAGAGCCAGTGAGCACCTAATACCTTATCTCACAGTTCACAGAGAACCTCTGACTATGCGTTTGAGTGGGTAAAAATGGTTATGTGGATGGAGCTTAAGGTTTCGGAGATTTAACGTAGTTAGGTGAAAATTTTCAGGGGACTTATTTACATTGAAAAGCGTAAGGATAAGACCCCTGTGAATAAAGCTCGAACCGACCACCAAATTTAATCGACGGTGTGAACGGCCTTTATATATAAATACATTAAAGACAGTAGAACGTAACGAGGGTCTAGGCTAAGCCTAGATTGTCGTTACGCGATATGAACGCTGCTTAATACCATCGTTACGCAACTCGACCGAGTGAGAGCGAAAGACGCGAATGCAGGGGACAGAGGCGAGACCGGTGTCGAAGTAAAAGGAGACGAACTCCTGGGTGCATGAGTCCCCGAAAAAAAATGGGGCCTTAACGAATGTACACAGTTTACGCGTTCAGCCGTCACAAAGCAGAGCGGCGCTTTCACTTCCGAAAAATTTCCGTACTTAACCGACGGCCGACTCGTTAATCCGGTTTTCATGGGCAAAGAAAGGAATCTATATGCCTTGTTGCTTACGTCGTGCACGTGAGTACGTGCACTACTTTACGATGTGAACGGCCCTTGTCGGTACCCACGCGACTCGTACGCAAGAAGTCACAATTACGTGGGACCCCTGTATTACGACGTACCACAAAGGGGTCTTTAAAAATTCTGAAATGCGCCAGTGCAATTTTTTGGTACCGATAAAAAAAAATCGCAAAATTCCATTTTACCAAAAATCCACAATTTTTTCGTTTGGGTCTTAAAAATCGGTGCACGAGGACCCATGAAAAAATTTGTATCGCCAAGTAAAGAGACTCGCTCAAAAAGTTTCCATACAAGCCACGTATAAAAGTGTCCCAACGTCAGAGGGTACCAGCACCCCTTCGCTTTTCCTCGTCCAGTTTCTCCTCTACTCCATCGCGCATCTATGACCGTGAAAAAACTATTGGACAGTAATTCCCGGCATAAGAATATAACGGGTGTCCGGCCGGTTTAGAACGAAATCCTTAACGAATAACTCCACGTATCGCGGCATTGCCACGTAATCGAGTGATCGAACCGCAAGTAGCCATTAAACGGTTTTGTTATAATTAAATAAATTTTCCCACGCACGATAATAATGGCCGTAAGAAATATAAATAAAAATCTAACCTCTCGAGAGGGACACTTTAAAATAAATCGCATTCGGACACGGTCAATCCAATTGCGGTCACCCTGACACGTTCTTAGCCCGATTAAAATTCTTTAATTAATTAGGCAATGATTTAAAAATTAAAAATACACGACTTTAAGCCCAATTCACGGATCAAGGTCGCCTCCTCGCGATTAGCCACTGTACAAGCATTTAGAACCAGAAGGCGTTGCCTGTTTAATTAACATTGCTCCTTGGCTTCCGTTAATTGGTAACAATAGATACCAACGCATCGACTGGCCGGAGCGTCATGCTTATTTTCAACGGTACCTGTTTTACCATATACTTACTACTCTATTACTACCCGTTGTTCGATGACTGTCGGATACAAAAATATCTGACAAAAGTTTCCCCACGAGCTTCACGCGGCCGAGATATTCTGCTTCGCTGCTAAGTTCAGGGAAGTCAATGTAAATATGGCTGCTGAACACTGTAAGTGAAAAGCGTGAGCTCGTGTTCAGGCATAATTCGCAGAAATAACATTGAAAACAAAGCGGCTCGTCCGCAAGGTCACGATCAAAGATCCATCGATCTCTTCGTAGCGAATAACGATAAAAACTAATCCAATATACATTCGTAGTACACGAAGTTCCCGCAAGCGTCGCAGATGATCCGTGAGCGTTCATTTGAAATTCGTATTGGCGGCAAAGAGGAGCAGCAGCTCGATAAACCGACCGGCTGAACGTCGTATAGAACCGTATATAGCGGCATGACCTTCGTCGGCTGGAAACGCGGCTTAAGAGCCGAGGCGCAACTGATAACAGGTTAACTGCAGGCAAGGGAACTGATAAATGACGAGCATTCGCATTTCCAAGCGCGACCTTCACCCTAGGTATTAATCCAAGTACGACGTGAAGTTGCTCTCGGGACGTCCTTCTCGTTCGATAATAAAACTTCGTGAAGTTGCGCATATATCGATTATGAATTTCACCCATGACAATATTCAAGCCGCACTCAGGACGTCGTTCTCATTTAATAATGCAACCTCGTGAAGTTTCGCATATAGCGATTACGAATTTCACCAATGAAAATGGTACAATAACGAAAAACCCTCCTAATCGACGCGTTATAAAATTCGGTACAACGAGAAATAATATTTCGTCCAAAATCCCATCCAAGATGGCGTCGCTTAACGTCCCGACACAGAGGTGACGATTGTTCTCGAAATCTCGCGACTATATTCCACACTTCACCGAACAATGCTAATTGCCAACGAGGAGCCCGTCAAGTGACTCCAGCAAAGTCGCGTCGTGCTTATCACCGTGAAGTAAGAAAAATTAATTTTTTTCCGCCAGTTTCAAGCGTCCCGTAAAAATTCAAATTTTCTTCATAACCTATAAAACAGCAATGCTTACAGAACTGGAATAATCGAGTATAACGCTAGGAAGCTAAATACGAATGACATGTTATTCCTGGATTAATACACGTGTTCGTATGTACACGACGGCCATCCACACTCGACAATATATATATACATATACAGACGAGGTCTATAAACAACAGTCTTTACCTTGTCACATTCGTGTTGGCCTATGTTATTACAACGTACATAATGTGACATTAATTACGTAGCGTGAGGACTGCATCCAGCACACGTCATAGATACTTTACGATATATATATATATATATATACCGGTAGTCATATAGCTTATACACGGTAGCCCAACAATTTCAGGATAAGTAATAACAACGTGGCTTAACAGGAATCCTATGAGAGTGTCTGTTAAGGTGACAGGATATACATTTGCCAGGTTTATCGCGACGATCCTTTTGCTTATTCTTTTTTTTCTCTTTATTTTCGTCATTGAGATTTCATCGATTACGTGAAGTTTTAAACGGCGAGAGTTGCTCGTATACCGGCAATATTTATTGAAGCAGACTTTACGCGGTCCTATACTCTGCGTAACCTACGGGTAACATACGATATGTTTAAGAAGACCGGATATGGTTCCTTAGAACGAAAATAGTTTGTAGTGTTATTAAAAAAAAAAGTTTTCTAAAAGGTACCACAAGTCCATGATTTTTTACCACCGGTACGTCTGTCCTTCTCTAACGCGCGTAAGCCCCCATGAGTCTCACTCTCTCGCACTCACGGCAGACATAGGAAAATCGAAAATTCGAAGGCGAGGGCCTTCCGATACGAATTTCAATACCCACTCGAGATTGATAAAGTTCGCGAAAACTTTTGGCAATAAAGCGCTTAGATAATGGCAGCAGATCAGATAATTTGTACAGATTTATATACTATGGCTATATTGTATACATACAGGTATTCCCACGTGCCCAGTGTTGTGCCTGGGTGCCTTGGATGATGGCAGTAACCGACATCATCGGCTTCTCCTTCTTCATCATTTTGCTTGGATAATCCCTCCTCAAGGTCACTTGTTCTCAACGGAGTCACACTTTACGCCCCGACCAGCTCTTACAGACACCTTCCGACACTACACGTTTTCACCATTCACCCTCCGCCGAAGTTCACTGCCGTTCAATGCAGCATGGAGGATCGACGTGAAAACAGCAGCTTGTCGCGTCGAGCGTTCACGTGTGACAACAATCGCGATACTCGAGAAGATCGATCATCGTCGCCATTGCGTATCCACCTTCGGACCGAACGTAGCTCGACGGGACTTGTTTTCTGGTAAAAATTTCGCAGGAGACTCACGGCGACGCGAATTCACGTTAATGGTCGACGTCGTATCTAAGAATGAAAATTTGAGGTTAGGACGGAGATTCGAAATAATTTTTTTCTTAGTCTTCGCTCGAAATTTATCGATATAGAAAATTATATGGTATCGATTATCGACGTTAAACGTGACTTTTAGGTTTGAGGTTAGGTTCGCTCGGGCGACCGTCTTTACTATTGGCCGGACTCTCTTGTCGCTGCGTTGAAAGGCCGTCGGATAGCGAAGGAATGAATGACGCGATAAGAGAGAAAAAGAAAATGGCGGATCCACAGTGCCGGCGTGGATTGGAGGTATTTTCATCGGGAGAAGCTTGCAGTGAAAATAGAGCTTAAGGGTGGGAAGGTGGGAGGGTATTCTCGCGACTGTCAACCGGCAATCCCTATGTCGCTAATTAGTCACGGTTGTAAACGTGGCCCGTACATTTTTATTGCGTTGCACGGATTGCGGCCAGAGCAATGTAAAAGCCCTGTCAACCTTGAACTGACACTCTCTGTCTCTATCTCTCTCTTGCTTTCGACATCCGAATGTCTGTCGTCTCTCTTGCTCTCTCTCTCTCTCTCACGGCTGTATCTCCCGTCGCTCCCACTACGGGGACCCTCGGCTCTTTTGCTCTGCTTCGCTCTGCTCTCTTTACGCAGGCGGAGTCACTCTCGCGCCCTGAGAATTCCACTGAAGAAAGTGAAAATAGAGAAAAGGGAGAGCACTGATTGCGTCGGGCGAACACGTGTTACTTTTTTTCTTTTTTTCGATTCAAAGTCGAAATAACAAAATTACCGGAAGTAACTGAGGATTTTAGAAAATTAGGTTGAAATTTTCATAGCGAATCGATTAATCGAATTTTTAAGGAATATTTAATTTTTTTTTTACCGACCCGAACAATTTCGAATTTTCGAAGATATTCAAAAATTGTACGTAAGACGGTTTCTTTTTGGATATCTGTAAATTTTTAACGTCAAAAGGACCCCTCCCCTGCCACCCTGTTTTTCGGCTACAATGCCGGCCCTGGAAGGGTCGGGTTTGCTTTAGCCAGGAAAATCTGACCAGTGTCAAAGTTCAATGTCGTACGATGACCGTACGTGATTTGGGGATGAAAAATCCCAGTCGAGGTAAAGGTGGGTCCACATCCCTTCGCAATCGTTCCCCTTTTCAGACCCAAGGAAATAGAAGATGGCCGGACAAGGTGTAGCGCGAGAAAGAGGAGGCGGGGAGGTGAACGGCGAAGAAAAAGAAATTTATATCGGCACTTGAATTTCAAGCAGACTCAGGCAACGTGATATATTCGTCTAGCCTTGTGGCCGTATATGCTAATGCAGGCGATACGGGACACTTGGTTCCTTTTCATGTAACGACACTATGCGCAACCCTCGTCTCCTTCGGAATAGTGAGCGACAAAAGTAGTTTTTCTGTCGACCGCAAAAAAAAAGTGACTCACGAGCAGAACGAACGAGAGTGCATCAAAGGAAGAAGAATGGCCGCTACGATGACTGTACATTTCGATTTTCACCGATCAAAATGAAAAATCCAAATTTACGCGATCCGATGTAAAAATCACGACTTTGAGGAAAAAAAAAAAATTTATGCCCAGTTCACACGTAATTTCAATATATGCGTGTCGCGTCTTTATGATTTTGCGAAAAAAAAAAAATGAGGTCGATAACGATCAGCGATAATAGGACGGCGGCCATATTGCCATTTTCGTAGGAAGCTTTTTAACCTCCAAGAATCACGTGGCCGGTACGGAGACAATTTGCATCGCGGTTTACCGCGAGATCCTCCGGGGGAAAAAAAAAGAAAAGGCGATAAAATATCGTAAGCGTGAACTCGTATCTCCAAGCCTAGATGAAAATCGCGACCAGCGTCGGGACGGATGAGGCATTTTGAATTTTGAAAAAAGAAATTAAAAATTAAAAAAAAAAAATATCCCGCTATGCTAAAAAATCCGTATAAAGATTTACGCAATTGTCGCTCGAAGGTCACGTGCACATTTTTTTTGGCGAATCCTCATCGCGCAAGACGCGACGAGAGGTCGCGGATTTCATGTAATCCGACGGCGACGCCGACGCGTTCTATTTTTGGTCCGTGACTATCTTGCATTCTCGGTGCAATTGCCGGCACCGAGTCGGGAGCCTCGAGGGAAAACAATGTTTACGTAATTCGACGGATGCAATAATGCAGCCCAGTCTACAGGGAGAATCGCCTCGAAACTTTTCATCCCGAACACCTGTTACCAACTTTGGCCCGAAGAAGAAGATTTCTATTGTCAGCACTGCAAGTGGATACCGGCGGTATTCAAAGCCTTGCACGTACAAAGATTTCATGATTTCGATAAAGCGTAAAAAGTAAAAAAAAAAAACAAAATTGCATCCTATTGAAATTTAATAAACCCCAAAGAAAATTTTCAACGATAATCCCACTATATAATCAAAAAACTATAATTTGTCATTAAAAAAAAAAAAAAGCCAAAAATTCGGTACCGAGAATTAACGCTTCTCCGATCGGGCGCCTGCTGAAAAATAACAGGTAAAGAAAATTGCAGCACCGAAGAGAAACGCGGGATTGAGTTATGGCTGTGCAAAGGCGAGTAGTCGCGATCGATTGATCGATCGATCAAACGATATCACCGTGAACGTTATAGCGTATTGGAAATCAGCTGAGAAGAAGCGGACGGCTGTAACTGGACTAGAATAATCACGGTATCGACGAACCTTGGAACCCATAACCGTATCGGATAAAAATTTTGTATAGGCAATTACAAATTTTTTATTAAAAAATAATTAACGGTATTCAAAGTACAATTATCGAATAATTACTTTACGTCGGACTACAAGAATAATTCAAACGATTTGTAACGCCGGGTGCAAATTTCAAATCATACTAGCAACGATATCTGCGCGCGGGTAGGTACGAATTTAAAAATAAAAATTCAAATTTCCCGCCATCAACGGCAAAGCGAAAAGTCGACATTTAACGTCGCAGCTCGAGTGCCGGGGGTCTCGATGGTCTCGAGGGGGTTGGCCGCAGTTTAACGACATCGTCCGATGCAAGCGAGGAAGCGTCGCGACGTCTCCCGACGTCGTTTCTGTGTCGCGAGAAATAGTTTTCCACCGGCCTCGAGATTATTCGACGACATGCGCACTGTGAACTAGCCTTAAGTTGGCATCGGCTAGGCCAGACAGTCTGACTGCCATCGTGAGTCTGTCTGTCTCGTAAAGTCCATAACTACTTGCTGCCGAATTCCCAGAATACCTTTAGCCGTAAAAAAAAAAAAAAAAAAAAAAAAAAAAAAAAAAAAAAAAAAAAAAAAACGTCTAGTTACTAAAAACTTGGAATTTCTATAAAATCAGCCCCTACCGTTCCGTGGTCATTGGACCGTGTGAACGTCGTCGCGACGTCGCGTAACTACTTTGCGACTACGACGTACCGACGCGGCAAGCGTGGCAAGAAAAGAAAATCCACTCGCTCTTTAAACACGCTTGCAATGGTCGTCGCGACGCTCCTACGTAGGAACAATTAAGGAGACGCGGATTGCGTAAGGTGAACGAGCGTCGCGTAAAGCGACGTTTCCACGAGTGACGTTGTACGTGGTGGTATAAATGGCAGTAGGAAAAAGAAAAATGTATCAGAAAAATGTATACATGCACAGCGCAGTAGTAAAGTCGACGTCGGGGTCAGACGGAACCTCAAATACCGCGAGAGTTCAAGAGCACGGGGAAAGAGCGTGCGGGCGAGTTTGAATGAAGCGACGGCGTAAATATGAAAAAAAAATTGTAAAAAAATGACAAATCAACAAAACAACAACAAAAAAGTCGCCAAAGTTATATGTCACAAATAAAAATCGGGAAGCTCACGATTGATCTCCAAGTAGCCACGTAAGAGCGCGTCGAGGACTGAATGGCGGGAGATTTGAATAAAGCGGCAATCAGATAACACGTACTCTAATGAAATGAACAAGAGCGACTCGAGTACAGCACGGATCTGTAATAACCCCGATCCTAATAAAACGTTAAAGACGAATCCGTAAAAGAAGAATTAAATTCCATCGCGGGTAGCAGATAAATTCTATTAAAGAAAGCACGAGTAGTAAGAGACGCGAAGGTCAGACGCAGTCGAGAGATGCACAATCCGGAGGGAATTTATTTAAAAAAAAAAAAGAAAAAAAAACAGGAAAAAAAAAGCTAAAGCTCAACGCACAAACCCCAAAATCCCGAATCTTCATAAACCCTCGGACGTCGATTCGCTTAGTTTATTTATTTTTTTTTTCCCAAAAGGTAAGATCCAAAATTCCACGTGTCACCGTCGGTACGCGATGATAACACCATGAACTTCCGAAAATCTCATAAACCTCCTAGTGATTCCTCTTCGGGGTGCTGGCGTCGTGCTTGGACGTCGCGACGCTAGGTGCGCGTGTACGCGATTAATACGCGAGAATACCTGTAGACCGACTCCACTCACCGACTGACTGAGTGACTGCGTTGCACGGCGCTAAAGGCGACTGAGTGATCGCCGGCCGGCGACGGCGCTGCATGTGAGCGCGGCCAGAGCGAGAGCGAGAGAGAAGAAACGAGTCAGATAGTGCGCAGAGAGCGAGAGAGACAGAGAGAGCAGAGGACGCCTAGTGGGGAGAGTGCAGCAAAGACCCGCCCGGTGAGTAAGGCGTCGTAGAACCATCGGGTGGTCGTAGTGGGGATGAAAGGGATGGGAGACGCATTGAGCTTGCGCTTGAGCTTAAGAGTCAAGTTCTAGTGCAGGGTCAAAATGGGAGAGAGAAAGAGAGAGAGAGAGAGAGAGAGAGCGATATTGACTCACACACTCTCTCTCTCTCTCTCTCTCACTCGTACAATGCCGTGTTTTCCAATGCCGACCCGACCCGCTCACGACGCTCGTGACTACGTCAAGGCTACGTCGGGGTGAACACTGGAACAGCATAGAAAAGCGAGCGACGCTTGCGGAAGCGAAGCTCCCGGAAATTTCAAGTCCGCGTACGTACGCATCTCCGTATAGATTGTGAATCGACAATACGAATAAAGAGCGGCAAAATTTGAATACCGCGACGACCTACCCGTATAATCCAGTGGCGGTCGACCGACAACAAAACGACTCCCAGGTACCCGTGGTCCTCCCTCTCGCGTCAGACGAACGAACGTCGTGCGCAAACAACTGCGCACTTCGCTTTAGAAATTGCATTACGCTCCTTTTGCCCTCTTCTTCGTAACAAGGCGAAGCCATCGATAAGACTGTTTGCGGCTGAGTATCGGCCGCTCGCCAATGCAAACAAGTGGTGCCGCGAGTCGTCATTTTATAGGGTGATTGTGGAAGAATTTCGCGGGATCTTATCGCTTCGTGGAAACGCACCTTGAAGCTGGCCCTACAGACACCGCCCCCCCCCCCCCCCCCCCCCCCCC